GAATGCACCGATTTTCAGATCATAGGATTTCACATGGTTTTTAAGGAAAAGGGAGTATTTTAGTAAGAAACAGGCTGGTGATGGTGATCAACAAGAAATTACTTTGGAGTGGGTGGTTTAAAATATAATGAACATTCTTGTTATGTTCAGTTGTTCATGACTAAAAAATTTATAAGCAAATCCAATTTTGTACTGCTAGAATTCATTGCAGAGTATGTAAGCACGATAGATAAACGTGGCAGGAATAAAGTATGCAAAGAGAACATGGATGAGTTAGAAGCAGCAGCTTAATCTCTATTATATCTGATAGAAATCTTTTTTGGGGCTGCGTAGGAACACATTTCTAGGGTGGTAAGTTATAAAAAGAAACTGTCTATAATAAACTACTGTAAGCTCATATGTAACAGTTTGTTATGTAAAAGTGGGGAAATAAATTATAGACAAATTGCCAAGCAATAAATTTGATGGAATAACATTTGATTTAAAACATTCACAGTAAAAATGGCATCCACATATTTTACAGATGACAGAGGAACTAAAATTTGGGTGGAAGATCTGCAATTAAGAAATATAAGTAGATGTACATCAAAAATGTTATATTACACTCTGAAAAATAATTTCTCCTTTTCCTTTAAACTATGTAATCAAGTTTTTCAAAATGTACTTGATTGTTATGGATGGAGTAGAATTAAAGTCAAAAACATTTGGGAAATAGCTTTCAGCCTGATGTGGTAAAGCAATCAGAGGTCAAATGTAACCATAAACCACAGTAAACCTTGAAGAGGCTTTAGTAAATAACAAACATGGGAGGTGGTTTTCACCAACTCTTTGTACAGACATTGATTCAAAGCAGTCACAGCACTCGCTGCATTCCAGCTGAGACCCCAGGACAACCTCCGCAGGTGTCCCAGGATGTGAGCCTGACTTTACAAACCAACTGAGATTAAAAATGATAATTACTAACAAATTCATTAAGGACAGGAAGTATTCAAGGGCAGAGTATTAGACCTGGGCAGGAACTGTGTATACAGGATGAGTAACCAGGCATGCAGGGAGAAATAAAAATGGCTCTCTACCTTTAGTCAGGGTTTGAGGAGTGGAATTTCTTTTCCTTATCTATTTAGAATAAGAGCTGTAGGTTAAGAGTTAGCAAATTTCTGTGAAAGGAGGTGCTCCACTGAAACTCTTGGTAGCTTTAAAAGTGACCTTCATTAAATAGGTCCAATGCTTTAGGAGAAACTATGTATTTAATTTTATACCTTCAGAAGCAAAAATTAGGAGCTCTTTACAAATTCCAAACTCCTGATGCCAGCAACAGAATATGAATTCATGAGCATTCTAGAAGAATTCTTTAAATTCTAGGCAGTAATTTGTGGATCAGTTTAATAAAAATAGCTTCTTTCAGCTCTTAACTCGTACTGATGCTGCCTTTGTGCACAAACCTGTTTGTTATTCATCCCCACTGTCCTGTCCTTTAACAGGTCTGGAGACTGTTCCTGTCACCTCCTTCCAGTTCTCCTCAAGAATTCTTTCTTCCATGATGTCTGTGTGACACTAAAAAACTGGTAAAGGATAGACTCAGGCTACTGAACAGCACTGATGTGTATTCATTTGAAAAAACCACAAAAGTAAGGTTAACATCTAACACATATACACGCAAATTTTCGAACGCATCCCATTCCTTCCTTGTATTGAAATTCTTTTTACAAATATAGAGTTAGAGCTGCCATGACTTACGTATCACTTAACTACTTATCTTCCTTTCCTTGTCTTTCACTGGTTTTGTTATCTTTTTAGCTCATTTGAATAGAAATTTTACAGATTGTTTCATACCACACATACGTAAGAAGACTCTGGAGCTCACTGGGACCTCTACCATTTCTCAGATTCAAAACTCCTGAAACCAGGTACAGAAATACGAACTTATAAGTATCCTAATGCAAACAATAATATTAAACTTTCTATTGGCAAAACTTTGCAAAGACATTTCATCACAATAACCTTTGATATGTCCTCCAGTTGGAGTATGTTTAAAGCTTCTTATTGACATAACTCTGTTAAAGTGCTTTTCAAAGTAGTGCTCAGCAGGCAGGTGGTATTGTGCAATATGTGTAGTACAAGCTCACATTACAAATTATTTGTCACTCATGAAACAGCAACTGAAGGAAAGCATCTCAGCAAGGCTAATACAAACCTATTCAGTGAGTCTGCCTAAGAAATACATGTGTTTGTTAGTATGTTGTCTATACATAATTAGCAGCACTATACAAAACATGATTCTATGACTAGTTGGATTGGGACTTGTCTTTTTTTTTTTTTTTTTTTTGGTGCTAAGATGTTTATATTCTGTAAATCATATAGGCCATACTTAATACTAGGGCTTGGACTATGCTCTTTTTTTTCTCATTTATTTGTCTATACACTGCAACCTACTCCATAGTTTTCATACTACTCAGTGCTTTGAAATTCTGTCAAATATTGTTAAAAAACATACTTTAAAATAAACACTCTCTGGAGCAAAAGTTAAAAAAAACCCCAACCAAACCAAAACAAACCCCCCAAAAACCAACAAAAAAGAACAAAATATTCAAGTGGAATCCATATCCATAGATCAATTCTCAAAGGACATAGCTGTCATGAGTTATAGGGAGCAACAGCATTTACCACAGCTGGTAAATTGCCTAAAGCCAGGCAATATAGAGCAAGCCAATGGAACTTCTTTTCCCACTTACATGTGACCTGATATGATTCAAACAACAAAGTCTTTCAATGTCATTTTTCACTGATACCCTGAAAATTCTCTTGTATCAAAAGCCACTGTACATGTACTCTTATATATCCATTTAGTAATACAACAGATCTACTTACCTATGCTTCCTTTGTCTACAAAGCCATTTAGTGATGTTTAGAAAAATGCTGAGAATTTTATTTCTAGAAAAATACCCTTTTTTTTTCTTGTGTTCCCCACACTTTATGCTTTAAGCCAAAACCTACCCTTGAATAACCATGACAGTCAGCAGCACTGGGAGGAATGGCCAGATATTTGACAGCAGAATCTCACACTCTTAGGTTATTGTAAAAAATGCTTATAAAGCATCACGGAGAGGGGCAGGAGAGGGAGAGGAAGGACAGAGTACGTTTAAGGGAGTTAAACTTGGATGTTGGAATAGGAGATTGGAGAAAACATGCACCTGCCATATATCTTATCCATTTCACTAAAATGATATTCAAAATCAGGCAATGCTGATATTCCCAGAATTAAAATAATAAATAAAAAGAACTTCCAGCTAAACTAATTATTATCCCACTGCAGTCTTTATATAACGTGCTATTTACAGTGAAATACAAAAAGTATTTCTTTCATGTAAGTACTACAAAGACTATACGTGATGCAGAACAGCTTTTACACTAGGCAAGGGTATGGAACCCGGAGTCAAAAATAATAGTGAATTTCTCCCCACTTACCAGTGCAACAGATGTTCAATGCAAAACAAACTGTGTTCACTCCCTTTGATTTCAATGCATTTTCTCTGGCAAGCTCCTAACAAAGTATTTTGTCACAATCATTTTTCTACGCTCTCACCAGCCACACAACAGCTTAGGTGAAGGAAAAGCAGTGAGCTGGCTGCAGAGTGGGAATGCAGAGGAATTGGCAAGTGTAGAAAAACGTGGAGAAGCTACAAAAATTTATTTTCCAACAAAATAACTCTCCACAAGCTGTGTAAACTTTTCTTACTAAAACAAATACTCTAAAACACAAAGATTTTACATTTCCAGTGAAACTCACAGTAACATTTGCCTGTTTTTACTCTCCTCCTGAAGTCTCAATAAAGAGCCAGCAGATTTATGCTTTCCCAATTACCTGGGTCAGTAAACTCCCTCGTATTCCTCGACTGTAATTTGGATTTTTAAATTAAGAGACAGAATGAAGAAACAGACGTGTTGGGCTTTTGGGTTAACTTTTGTTTTCTTCAGTAGATTCTCACACTTTGCTGTCTAACGTGCACACGTACACCCATCCACCATCCACCCACTCACATACACACTTCCCACATGTGTGCTCTATTATTCTGACAACAGAACAAGAATTAAGCTGTGCCCATTGCAATTCTGTCACCTGAACAGATAAGAATAATTTATAGTGGTAAGGTCATTATCTTTACCACAGCTTTACAATGCAAAGTTGGGTTTGCAAGGACAGCATAAGAGTTACACCCTTTATCTCAGTCACTCATCCATATTTACAATAAGTATAAGCTTTCTGCTACAGAAGAAAAAGTATTTAGATTGAACACTGTTACAGATTTCCTAAGTGAGGCTAGTTCCAGTTGCCAGTAATTCAAAAGCAAATCTGCTGACTTGGCATTAGGACTCTAAAACAGTGTGATCAAACTTATATAGTAAGAAGGTGTCTGCAGAAATAACATTTATAAACTGTATATACAGTACACAGTACCAATACATAGAAAATAGATTTTGACTCCATGATCCCCTGTGTGTAAGGCAAGACTGAATTGTCTTCAAATGGAGACCACCAGAGGTACAAGCGACAGAGTGGTGCTTAAACCAATATGCAAATCAAGTGCATACAAATTAAAAATCAGAGCAGACAAAAAGTTTTAGATTTTTTATGTGCTGATCCTGGCTTGCTGAATACACGGGAAGTTATTAAACATCAAATGTACCTTTTTTTTTAAAAAACACTAACAACACCTTGATGGCAACAGATATTGTTCAAGTGGCAGCTACCAAAAACAGCTTGAAAAATGTCATAGTACAACATCAGGAACTCTTCAGTTGTACTACACTAATTTATATAGCACTAACCAAAAAAAATAAGTATATGAATATTCTATTTCATGCTATTGCTATGCAAGCAACAGCAATACAAATCAGCATACAGAAGGATACCATATGTTCTGCAACGAAGAACCCAAAGATATTTTCAAGGGGCATTGTTACAAGACTTCAAAGAAACACAAGACTGCTGGAGGCAGAAGTTACTGACGGATGTAAACATCCCTGTTCCATTCTCCTGCATCGTTACGTTTTTTTGATATCACTTCCCCATCCTTGTCACAATATTGGTCCCTCGATTTATGACGACTGCGCTGTTTGTTGCATTCATTGTGGTCCTGCTCGCGGTCCCTCTCCTTTGAGCGATGCCTGGATTCTCTGTGTCTGTGATCACTGCTCCCGTGGGACTCGTCTCTGTGATTATGATCCCTGTGAGAATCATAGTGGTCACCGTGCTCATGTGAATAGTCCTCCTTTGGCTCTACGTACGCTGAATCTCTGCTGTCTTGTGTTTCTGAGTCAAAAGTTTCTTGCCTGTGAAGGCCTCTAACACCACTGCGATGGTTGTGGTGTTGGCTGGAGGAAGAGCGATGCTGGGATTTCTTGCTGGGCTCGACCCGCGCTTCCTCTTCAATTTGTGAACCGCTGCGGTCAGGGACCGAATGGTCATTCCTCTGCTCTCCTTGAGATCCCTGCTATCAGAACCAGCAGTGAGTTCATCTACACAAGGTACACATTGAAAAACTTTCCCCAATACCAAATTCAACTAGAAAGTATCAGGAAACCAATAAAATTTAAGTACACAACATTCCACTTTGAATCTAAACTAGAAAAAAACCCATTAGAATTCAACTTTTACTGAAAATTTGGTATTATAATACAAACAATTCCTTTCACTCTCATCAGAATGGAGGGTGGCATTCAGGTTATTCTGTTACATTTTCTTGTCTCTTGTGATGTTTCTGACTATTGCAGTTAGCGAGAATTGCCACCATGCTCCAAACAAAAAGAGAGCATGCAGAAGCAGGACAAAATGCAGAAAAATCAAAGATAACATACCGTGTTAGGAGAGGGCAGGTATCAGCTGAGAGTTTACAGATGCCTGCTTGGAAACAGCTGCTATGGGAAAGTGATTTTAAAGGGCAAAGGATGTGGATTCCAGTAAAGAACCAAAGTATATAATTTTGGCTCTTTTAGAGTAATTTTTTTTTTGAAGGAAAAAAATGTGATTGAAACTGATATGAATAAAGTTTGTATTATAATACTAATAGTATCACTGACCTTCTGTTTTCTCAGCAATAATTTCATATCTTGATGGCAATGAATAATTACACTTTGAGCTCAGAATTTTGAGAGCTCAAGAATATAGACCATTGCCAAGGAAAGCAGGAGGAGAGCGATATTATCACATACAGAATTTCCTAACACACCACTACTATTAAAAGACTGAAATAAAAATTACCAGGTATTAAACCTACTCTTCACCCGCATAATGCTTTGAAATCACTGCAAAATGAACAAGTGGCATTATTTAACTCATCTGGGGGTTTCAATACATTAACCTGCTTTTATTGCCAAACCACAGCCAAAGACTTTTCAAGCTTAATTGCAAAAATTTTAAGAAATAATTTATGGTGAAATTGAATTATCCTTCTCATGTGAGGTGAAGAACATCAAGACAAAATAATTTCTCCTGCACAAAATTAAAGTAGATTTTAACAGAGTTATACCGGCATTTGTTTCTGAGACTTCTGAATTTACCAAAGTTAGTTTTAAATTTGCCCTTCTATGTTCAGAGTCGTCTAAAAATAAGAGATTGCCTCCAGGGCAGCTCATGGACATATCTTCTTTCTGTCTTTCTGTTTTGTGGAAAAGAGCTAGGGGAAGGGGGAAATTTTGTCCTTCAGCCACAGATCCTGGCAGGTGGGTTTCCTAGCAACCCAAAAAAGTAAAATGACAGGAAACTGGATAGGAACAAATCTGTATTTCATCAGGAACTTATAAAAATCTACATATTTCAAATTGGCAATTTGATAAATTTGACAAATCTTAATTTTCTAAGGCAACATTTTGTTCTGTAAACTTCCCAGAGACTAGCTGGGTTGCTCCACGTGTTCCTAATTTGAAACAAATGGTGTAGATGAGAACAAGGTAACAGGAACAGGAGTCAAATTTCTTGTTTTGTTCTTGTTTTTGTGACTCTCAAGATGATTCTCATTTGCCAGAAAGGAATGCAGTAATTGTAAACAGGAATAGATGTCCACAAGGTGAAATGCAATGACTCAACAGAGGTGAATTGTAAATGAAATCAAGTGAAAAGCTAGAGTCCAAAGCAGCATCTGCTTTGGATGTGGAAACACAGATTTTATCAGTTCATAACCATGACTGGTTTTAAGGCACATAAATTGGCTACACATGTGAAACCCTTTAATTCTCAGATGGTCAAATGCCACATATGTATGTACCTGTATATAATCATGACTCATAAAATCCATCATTGCTGTGGTTTGAGAACAAATGCAAAACTTGAACCTGCTCTGAACACAGTGCTACTTTTACAAGCAGAGATGCATCTTCTCTGCTGTGGTGAGTTTGTGTGACAGAGCACAATGAATAAATTTAGAAACAATACCTGCAATTTCAGAACAGTGTTAGGGCTGTTTGGGTTTATGGGCAAATTCATTGACAATAACTTTCCCTAAATGTTACAGGGACACTGAACAGGGAATGCTTGAATCTGGATTAGAGTATGGCTTTGTAGTTCATAACCAAATTATAGCTCTGATTTGGATTAGATTCTGCAGCGCAGGAGTTTTATGGGCCAATCTCATAAGGCTTTTTTGTCTAAAATGGAGAAGGTTTAAGATTATCTATTTCATTATTCAGGTTGTAATTTCAAAGAAGTAGGGGTTCTTGCAAAGACGTTTAAGCAGTGTAGAAAGAGGACAGTCTGTGTCCACTGAGTGAATTTGCCTTGCTCCCTAATTCTATCCAGTGGTCCCTGATCACCTGTACCATGTGTGTGTTGATGTTGCTCCAGTCTTTTTGGAAATAGCCAACTATATCTGTACAAGTTTGCTCCACTGTCTCCATCAGATAGACAGGAGGTGCACGGTCTTTACCAGTTTCATTTCAAGCAATCCCAGGAGGCCTCACACCTTCAAGCACCTTGTGTCATGCAATGCACACAGTCAGCATCATGCCATAAAAATACCACTCTGGCAAGCTGGCAACACAAATCCCTCCTCACAATGTGCACCTGGGTCTGAAAAACCAGGAAATCCAAGTATATTTCATGGCAAAGGGGCACTGCATTGGACCTGGGGGAGAATGACTCCAATGCTTCGCAGTGTGGATGTGGCTCCTCCAGGCCAAACAGCTGTTGGCTTGGTTTTTCTCTACAGAGCAGTCCACAAAGATGGCACAGGCATAGACTTTAAATTCTCTAAATAGAGGGTCTTAGCACTGTTGAGAGAATGGGTTCAGCCACCATGATTAGACAGTACACCCACTCTGTGCCAAGGCAGTGAAAGGTTCAGGTTTGAGATGTTAGTTGAAGATGTATCATAGGAAAATGAAATGAAAGGAACATAAAAGTTCTATGTTCCTTAAGGGACCCCCATTGGTTCACACTTCTGGATTAGTAGACCTACCAACAAACCGTGAAACTGCAAATACACTCTCAGTTTTAGTCCTTAAAATATAAATCTGTTAGTTTGTAAGGAGACAGCACAACATTTAGGAAAGTGTTATTAAAGCTCTGTATAGCTCCTCCAGAGAATGTGGTTAATAAAATGAGTAAGTGAACTATAAATCTACACCCAAAAGGCATAAAAAAACTTGAGCAAAATAATTTAAAAGTCTGCAAAGCAAAGAAAGTTTATCTAGCAAGTCTGCACACAACAATACTGAATTTCATACTCAGAAATTCTTCCAGCTCACAATTTTTTCAGGGTGTTTCAGCTCTGAGGACAGAAAAAAAAAAAGGCAGAAATGAGCTATAACTTACAATCTCTTTTCCTGCAACTGCTTTTGAAAGCAAGAGAAAGAGATACCCTGCCAGGTGGCTAAAGAATTTTTCCATGTTAAAGAACAAACTTGTCAAATCTGTGATTTTTTAATGGGAAATAATTTCTTTGACACAAGAAATCATTTTGCGAGACCATTAAAAAAAGCACAACTCAGCACACATTTTTGGCATTTGTTTGTGGGGCAGATACGTTTTTTCTTTTATTTTCTACAAGGAGTTTTTCTTAGCCAAAGTTATGAATTGTAACTTGCATATGCATGTATCTCATGGGCATATATGGAACTTAGGTAGACATTTAGATGTAGCAAGCCATTATTTGATCTGGGACACATGTATTTTAACCTCTGCTGTGATCTTTTCAGCCTCAAGGCATCACTCACTATTTATAATGAAGTCTCATCGGTTAAGCCCTCATTTCATGCTGTGCAGAACATGTCCAAAGGACAGCATCTCCTTACTCTGAACACCTTAATACAATTACACAAAGCAAAAGTTGAAGGAGAACAGAGGGGACATAATATGCCCAAAGTCAACAGGCAGATCCGTGCCGAGGTGTGAATCAAACCAGTTTTTCCCAGCTCACTGGACAGGGTCCTCACTGTTCAGAACACACTGCCTGTCAAAGTCTTTCTGCACAACGTGCACCAGGGCTTGGGTTTTATGTGAGTTTGGCTTGAAGGAAGTAGGTACTTTTCACAGCAATGGCCAATGAATAAAAGAAGAAAGGAAACACTGGAAGGGCCACTTTGACCTTGAGACTTCACTAATACAGTCACTCACTCTAAACCTCTACAACTCTAAAGCCTGTGGGAAGATTGGAACAGATTTCTCTTCAAGATTAGTGGATCTGCTCTGTACATAACCCAATTTGTCACTCAGGGCCTCTGGGGGTAGGATTTGCCTATTAGCAATAGTCTGCCCATCAGTCAGAGAGTTACCAGAGGCTGTAACGTGCATGGTATTAGCCCAGTTTTATTCCTCTGATTGGATTACATATGGCCAGCTATAAAAATGCTTTAGGCTGGTACACATATTACTGGCACAGCAGTGTCCTGGGCACAGTAAAACCTGAAGTATTCCACTTCACATCAACATATGTTTTCAGTCAGGCTGGCTTAGTCCTTGGAATCAAAACCAGCCCCCTAGTCAATACCCAAACACACACTACTATGAATACAATAGCAATAACAATAACATGCCTCAATTTGCCTTTTATACTGAAAATAGGTGAACATCTGCTGAAAAAATTCTTACTCTATCAACAACAGTAAGACATACTCAGCATATTCTAGTATTAGCCTGCCACTGTGCTTTGGAAGAGGAAGAAGTTGAAAGAAGAAAAGGAAGAGATAGCATAAAAACTGTACCTGTAAATTAATATTTGGACCTGGGCTAATAGGAAGAGTGGCTGTTGCAAGTGTGCGGGTGAGAAGCTGGTTAGGAGGATTGCTGCTGGGTGGATGTGTGGCCTTCCAGTAGGCTTCCAGATAGTCAGCAAGGTGCTCACAAGCATCTTCAAGCTGGTTCTCATCAAGAATTACATCGAACATTTCCTGATAAAGGAAAGGTTTTAGTGAGAATAAGCACCAGCTAAAGGGAGATCAGCTAGAGACATCGATGACCACACTTTCCATGCATCAAAATTAACTACGTTTCTAGTGCTCCTGTTAAGATATTTCACCCTTTTTTGTTTGTTTGTTTATTTGTTGTTTTTTCCTAAATGCAACTGATACAAAAGACAGCTATCATAACTAGGGTCAATGTTACACTTGCTAAAAGCAAACCCTCATGACTTCCACTTAGTAATGCACAAACAGTCAATGAAGACAGGAAGAGGCAGCCTGAACAAATCTGAAAACTCAAATATACAGAAAGAACGGTTAAATATTTAAGTGTTTATTGGAAAAAAAATGGAATGGCAAGAAAAGGGATTCACTCCCTGTATCTAAAATAAGTAGGAGAAAACAAAGACAAACAACTAACAACAGTAAGAAATGCAAGTAATACAGACCATTCAGTCTCCAAGTGTCATACAAATATTAGGTAAGAGACTAGGTCTAATTTTAGGCTTCTCAAGCTAGGAGGCAAGTTTCCCCCACTGTCTGCCTGGTCAGGGAGCCAGAGGCAGCTTTGGGAATCCACACAGTTCTCTGGCTTTCTTCATTGACTTCTTGGGGACCTGAGGAGACTAGTCTCTTAACTGAGTTGCTTGAACTTAAATGATGAAGACATTCCCTTCACTCAGCTCCCTAACTATGGCAAATTATATCTGCAACTGTACCAAACCTTCATCTTCTGGTCTCTTACCCATACTCTCGACAGCTGAGTGTGCAGGTAGCAATGCAGGCCATGTTTTAAACACAGCTGGGGTCGTATCATCTCTGCTTTATAGATGGAAATTGAGAGAATTTGCTTCAGTGCAGATCAACAGAAGAAACAGAGTGCTCTCAGCTATGCAGTACCCTTCAGCTCTTTGCCAAACTGTGCCCAGCAGCAGCAGCAGCAGTGGGCTGTGGTGACATATGCCCATGGGGAACTACTCAAAACACTGCCCTTACCTAAACTGCCAGAGATGAAGCATAGTCACTAAGAGGGTTCATTGTTAGACCAACAACCCCCTAAAAATTATCAAGTAAAACAAATCTTCAGTTTATTGAAGCACTAAATGTATTAGCACACATCCTAATAACTCCTTGTGACTAGGACTTCTCTTCCCCTGCAACCTTGTACAGGGCACTGGGACCTCAGGAGTTCTGCAAAAAAGCAATTGTGAAGTATGGCCAGAAGAGGGCAAACATTCCTGAAAATTATGTAATGAACCTGGTGCATGAAAAGAAAGGCACCTTTCAAAAATAAGACATAAAGTTACAGTAACTCACGGGAGGACACTGTGCCAGTTTATCAGCTGCCACCATCTGAACATTAAGGTGTTTGGCCTGAGATTTCCCTCGAGATTTTATCAACCTCTGTAAAACCTGTGAAAAATAAGACATTCATCAAAGTGAGTGGGTTCAGACTTAATGTACATATATAACCACTTAAAATGTATAGGTTTTAAACTACCCACTTGAGCAGAGCAAATTCTTCATTTGCTGCTTCAGGAACATTTCCCATGCTCTTTAATCCAGAACGAGCTAATTTTCATTTACTTTCCAACATCTTGTTTCCTGTTACAAGAAATAAAATGTTCCCCTCCTACTTTCCTCTGCTGCTTCTGGTTTTGTTTGCTTCTAAGTTGAATTTTTAAAACTGATCTCCTGAGTTATCTTCCCACAAATTCATTCCTCTCTTTCTAATACCTTTTCACAAGGTCTGTGCATGGTTTCTTCATGGAATTAAAGAGTATGTTATCAGGAGCTGTTAAAGTTTAGCAGTCAGTCTGATATTCATTCTGTGAAAATCTTTCTTTCATTTCTGTATTATTTTGATTTAAGAAACCATTAGCATTATTTACATGATTGATATTAACAGCACAATTGCAATTAAGAACCTCATTTGAGCTATTTTCAAAATGGGTTTTGGTAACACTAGAGCTAAGATACTTTTTTCTTTAATAATACTTCAACACCCAAAGGGAAGCAATGACAATGTATAGCTCTGAACTTTAATGAGGACATGTGATATCTGCTTTTAAGACAAAAAAAAAAAAAAAAGAAAAGGAAAGAGCATGAAAGTAACTACAATATTTACCTTAGGAGAAGAAATCTTTACGTATACTATAATGGGAGCCAGAGAGGTTTTGCTTAGTTGAGCTGGGTGGTTAATGGTATCAGCATCAAGCACTACCAACTGCAGTGTCCTTGCTAATTCGAAAATCCGTTCGATTTCACTTTGAACTTCAGCTGCAGAGAAGTAGAAAATCAGAGTTATGAAAATAAGAAGAAGTGATTAGTTTCAAGAAATGTAAAATGTGGTAGACTGGTGTGTTGCTCCTCCTCTGGCTGCAGGAGTTGTTCTCCGCATGCATTCCTGGCACTCTGGGGTAATGAAGGCAACGTTAACGGGAGCATTTTGCCCTGATTTGCTGCCCTTGCAGGCAGCACTGCCTGCCTCTCTTGCCTCACCTATTCTTGCCATCCCAGGCTGGAGAGACACTGTTAACACCACCTTACAAGACCCAGACCATGTATGCAAGGAAAAAGAGAAGTATGAATGCCTCCTGCATCAAACACTAATCTTACTATGCCACTAATTTCCTACATGCAAATAATTTCAGCTAAGACATTAATCTTACACAGCAACCAGTTTGCTCAAACTGGAGTGCCTGAGATAGGCATTAGGAAGTACTGAGGTGCCTCTACCTGCAGAAATTCCTGGTTTTTCCACTGACTTCAACTTATCAAAGCTCTGGAAAACAGTTTCCTACATGTACTGGCCTTGGTATGGTACCTTGTTAAAAATTTAATTATTGTATGTAAAACACTTGTTAAAAATAAATAACTCAAATCCAAATAATGCTATGGTATCCTCCTCACAACACCATGACTTCTGGAAAGGTGATTTTCCTCAGGAAAAAAATCTTCCTTTCTTCTGGTAGTCATGCTCTCAGCTCCTCAGCCTGATGGGCAGTACTTTCCGGGGCAAACCTCTCCAAGACAGATGGGCTGTATCCACTTCCACAAGTGGTGTAGAAACTGTGTTCATTCCCCAGTGAAACAAAACTACATCTTCTAACAGCAAAATCATCCTTGAAATGGAATCATGTCTTCCTGCTCAAATCTTGCTGTAGACTGACTTCACAGAGATATTACAGGAGCTGGGTGATGTGTGAGTTTCTAAGTCATTGGGCCAGATAGCCAGTAATTCATATAAGTTTCCATTAAAGGTTGGGCACACTCCATGAACCAAAACCAGACGGGATATCGAGCCCACTGGAAGTAAATATTAGCAGACAACCAACGCAAAGTTAGATGTCAACAAGAGGTACCAAAAACTTACTAGAGAGTTTCTTGAAATTACACCATCAGCCTTTTATCTCTTATGCTAGCAAGAGCTTCGAAACACAGCCTATCTGATCTGGCTGGAGAGGGAGTTTTCTATATCATATAGTCTCTTTCAAGAGATGTGAAGAGATTGATTTTGTTATCTTAGAATAGCAACTCAATAAATGAGGTACCATAAAACGGTTTCAAAGTTTCCAAGAGAGAGCAAGGCATCTTAGCTAGTCTTCGTTTAGCTCGAAGTATTTTCGTTCCAAATCAATAGGCAATTACCACACCCATTTTATAAATGAAGTAACATCTAAATGGCCATCAGGAAATCCATATATATATCCCCTACTGGAAGAGGCTGACATTGTTTGGGATGTAGAGATCACCTCCAACTGTAGTTATCTCCGATTTTGGATGAGTACATGCCAGTCATTCTTTTACAGCAGTGAACACTGTGAGATGTGCACGGGGTGGTATGGAAAGCATTGGCACATGCTTTCCTGCTGGTCAATAAAAGCACTGTGGCCCAGCTGCTGCCTGAATTCAGACCACATTTTTTAAGACAGAACTTCTGATGGTTCTTGGCACATTCACGATTACATTTTCTGCAACTTCATTGCATAGAAATACTGCTGGAATCACTGAATAGCATTGTCTTAGAGTTTAGTAGAAGATAGTCAAAAGTCTATCCCTAATTTAAGTCCAAATGACAACTAGAATAAATATATCAAAGGTAATTTGTCATGGTGTTCTGATGATGAGTTTGAATTGCTTTCCTGCAATTTCAAACCAGGCTTAACACTTTAGTCAGTATAATAATATCAACTAATGTATCATTTTAAGACCATTCCAGACTGCTGAAAAATGTTTGTACAAGACAATTTACAACCAGCAAAATCTGTTTCTTTGCCACTGTATCATAATTTTGGCTGGGCAAGCAGTATTTGCTACACTGCTGGAAGCACTTTTCTGCCAGTATAGAATACATCTCTGCAGACTAGATTTTCTGCTGTACTTTCTGAAACACCCTTTGCCGGGGCAGAGTATGCCTCGGGCTATGTTCTATTGTGAAACACACCTGGGGCAAGAACTGCAGGTAACTGTGGTCCTATCAACCAATAGTTTCCACTTGAGCCTGAAGATGGAGAGGTATCTTTTTCATTAATTAACAAGTATTTCAGTATTTATTTTTCTTAACTTGGGTATAGGAGAAAAGTTCAAGAAACTGTATTGCATGACTGGTGAACTAATGTATGTGCCTCTAGTTCTCCAGTCAAGAATAGATGGGAAAAATGGCACAGATCACCGAAGAGGTCCTCATCTCCTGTTCTTAAGAGTACTTCTCCAGCTTCTGGAAAAGGTTTTATTTTGCTTTAAATCTTCCTTGAATTCTAACTTTTTACGCAAGATTGTTGCAATTACTTACGTAATAGTAGCTTCTCATTTTAGATGACAAAGGCTTTATCTACTACTACAGCTTTAGTTTTCATCTTTCTTTATCAACATCTCTCAAAAGCCAAATTCTATACCCGTAAAGATTCCTACACAACAAGACACTCAGCACAAATCTTCTCCCAGACTTTTGCCCAAAGTAAGCAAAGAACTCTAAATGTCATATGGGGATAGTAACACAAATGTCACTGGTAGTTAAAATAGGGAGCTGAGAACAGTGACAGTGGGGTATCTTCAAAGCAGCACAGTAATAGCTTTGCAAACTTCCACCTCCAGGAATACCATCTATTTATAATAGTTTCCCTTCTGATGTACTGGAGAAGTTATAACAGTGAGGTTATAACATTAAACTCTGATAAATTATATTTTCTTATCATAAGGAGAGACATAAACATAATTCGATCTACTGTGACAATCATCATGAAATGCTGGCATCTCAGATACAATGCTCAGACCAGAAATTACTTATCAAATTTTAAAGTGACCCTTACAATCTATTTGGTATGGCCTCCTTGGTAACCAGAAAGTGAACATATTTTAAAGGACAAAAGCACTCAACTATTTATTCCATACAATAGCAGGTCAACTCTAAGAAACAGTAAGTACACAACTCCCAGACAACTTTAAATATTGCACATTTAAACTTGCTTCCAAATCTTAATTCTCAAAATCCCTACTGCACCTTGAAATGAACAGAAATTCAGTGCAATGAGAGCACAAGTAAATGGCTTATCCCATTATAGAATCATCATAGAATCATAGAATTTTAGCGACTGGAAAGAACCTTATAGGTCATCTAGTCCCAAC